TTCGCGCTTGCGCAGTGACGTTCTTGCTACTTCCGGTCGTCGTCCTCCGTTCGTCGTCGTGGTTGCTTAAGCTCCCTACTAGCAGGTATAAAACTCACGAGTTTGGTTCTACATATTATTATTTCTTGGATTAGTGGCCGTTTTCACACTAGAGGACGGACAAATCGTCTGGACGGACAAATCGTCTTAGATGGACAAATCGTCTGATGTGAAAACGGGACGAACAAACTTTTCGACGAAAACATCGTCTGATATTTGGCCGTCTGGAAAGACGATTTTTTGAAGACGGTTTGTCCGTCGAGACGAACAAGTCGACGACAGTACGACTTAAATTTATATCAGACGGTGACATGTTCGATTTTCTCGCCGTGAGGAAATAGGACTAGCAACAGAGCGAGGTTTTATGGGAAGTTTCAACATAGCGGAAATCAAGAAGAAGTCAGCGAAATCGACGAAGTCAGCGAAAAACAAAGCATATGGCCTTCTCGAATTCAAATTCGATGGACAAATGCCACGCGATTCGTCCGTCTAGACGATTTTTCCGTCCTCTAGAGTGAAAACGGCCAGTGTGTGTGCGAATAAATACTTTTTTTTTGCAGAACCGAGTAGATAACATGGTGTTAGGATTTAGCAAACCCAACCAAGACTAACGTCGACAGTGATCACCACCAGCTTTTCGAAACATCAACTCTGTCAATCTACAATAGCTGAATTGGAGCATTTAGCCGCGCCGAAAGGAAACCGCGCCGCGCCCCGAATGTTACCAAAAGTACTTCGATTGGGTTGAAGAATGCGAACTTCTTTTAAATGGTCCGCTAGCTTCGAAGAGCAAAGCTGTGAAAGCAAATTATGTTCTCATTTGGGCAGGAAAAGCTGGAAGAACACACGTCAAGTCCCTAAATCTCACCACTGTACAGAAAGGAGATCCAAGCGTGCTCTTCAAAAAGTTCGTGGAGCGGACAAAGCCAAAATTCTATACACTTGCAGCCGCATCAAACTTCCGCCGGCTGGAGCAAGGTGATCTTAGCCTAGCAGAGTACATTGAAAAAGCCACAATTCTGTGCGACCAGTGTGAAAATCCTCCAGAAGCCCGCGATCGACTACTTCGGGATGCAATAGTTATTGGACTACGCTCCAAAGAGGCCTATTACAAATGCAATGAAAAAGGTTCAGAATTGACGCTAGAAGAGGCAATAGAAATCGCCCAAAATCAGAACGCAACAGCACACCAAGTTGGTTACATGCGACGGGAATTCAAAGGCGAACCACTATAAATGGAAGTTCATAAACTCCAAGGAAAAAGGTAATCAAGAGCCAACCGGAACAGACAGCAGCCACAAAGACCGGCTTCCAATGATCAGAAACAAGGAAGGTCAAACAGGGAAAGTTGTTTCAACTGTGGAGCGAAACCGTCAGATCCCAAAAGTGACTGTCCCGCGAAGGAGGCAAAGTGCTTCAAGTGTGGGAAGGAAGGGCATTGCGGTTCCGTGTGCAAATCAAAGAATAAAGATGCACGTGTCAACGAGTTACGAGTCCAGCCTTCAACAGCTTCTGAGTGCGTGAACTGCGTACTGAATGAATACGAGCCACTTCACTTCAACGCGCCTATTCATCACCTCAAGACAGTAACAGTGGAAAGTCTTAATCATCCAAAATCAGAACCTCACATCCGCCCGCTATGGCTCAGCCAGGAATTTTCATCACAAATCTTCCAGATTGACTGCGAGGTTGATACCGGAGCAAGTTGCAACATGCTGCCGTTGTACAAGGTTAAAGCACCCTTCAGAAACGACTTGAAGTTGGGCAAACCAACGGTGAACCTCAAGGGTTATAATGACAGTCCAGTGGGGAACCTTGGTTCCCGCATTGTGTACCTTTACCATGGTAACAAGATGTTCAGAGTTTTGTGCGAAGTCGCAGACAGTAGAGGTCATATGATCTTAGGCAGAAAGCAGGCGTTTATCATGGAATTGACACAGCTTGGAGTCATTAAAGAAGTAAGGGAGCACACTGAGTGCTTTAATTCATTTGTTTCAGTTAAGAAACCAGATGGTTCCTTACGGCTATGCCTTGATCCAAAGGATCTCAACCAAGCGATAGAGGAATCAGTGGTACAACAGAAGAGTGGATGATATCTCATCGGAATTAGCAGATCCGAAGTATTTTAGCTTGCTTGGCGCGAAATCGGGGTATTGGCATGTCTCTCTTGACAAAGAAAGCAGTTTCCTGACAACTTTCAATACACCCTAGGGTAAGTACCGATGGCTACGCCTACCCTTTGGGCTAAAGGTATCAGGAGATGTCTTTCAAGAAAGAATCGACAGAGTGCTGAAAAGTGTCCCCAATAGCGATGGAATTGTTGACGATATCCTTTGCCACGGCAACAAAGAGACTACCCATGACTTTGCAGTCATCACTCTGCTAGAAACAGCGAGAGCTAACAATCTCACCTTCAACGGGAACAAATTTGTGTTCTAGTCTCAAGACTGTGCATTCTTCGGAGGAAATCTTACCCTACCCGGGTACAACATGGACCCCAAAAAAGTGCAATCCATCACAAAGATGAAACTACCAGAGAACCTTCAAGATCTCCAAAGCTTCTTAGGACTGGTGAACTACCTTAACCGGTTCAGTCCAACACTGGCAGATTTAACAGCACCGCTTAGGACGCCCCGTAAGAAGGACACTCTCTTTACCTAGGAAAGCTCACAACAAACAGCATTTGAGGCTATCAAGAAAGAGATTACAAGTGCACCAGTGTTGGCATACCTGTATCAGTCTAAAGCTAGTATTATTCAGTCAGACGCATTAAAGAAAGGCTTAGAAGCAGTCCTACGCCAAGATGATAAGCCTGTGATCTACGCATCAAGAGCCCTCACTGAGGCGGAACAATCTTACTCTAACATTGAACGAGAGCTGCTCAGTGTTGTCTCTGCTCTTGAAAGATTTCATCACTATGTCTATGGATACACAGCGACGGTGCAAACAGATCACAAACCATTGGTCAGCGTGTGGAAGAAATCCATAGCGTGTAACTCACCACGCCTTCAGAGGCCATTGCTGAGACTTCCCAGTATGACGTAAACATTGAATACCTGAAAGGGAAGGATAATGTCGTAGCTGACGCACTGTCCAGAGTTTCTCCTGAGCCAACACCCAAAGAAGAATACGAGTAAGACTTCATCCCAGTTCAAACGGGACAGATGAAATCCCCGCTGATGCTACGAGAGTTGGAGATTTCAGACGCGCAACTGCAGAAGACACTATTTCCGGCTTACTGATGCAAGTGGTAGCAAATGGATGGCCTGAATTAAACAAGAATTGCCACTCACTTCTTGTAGACTACTGGAGCTACAGAGAAGAGATCAGTGCAGAGAATGGTCTACTCCTCAAAGGCCATCGACTCATAGTTCCTGAGAAATTGCGTACCACAGTCCTCCAAAGTATCCACGAGGGTCATTTTGGTTTTGAGAAAATGCAACTAAAAGCCCGAGAAGCAGTATTCTGGCCAGGAATAACCTCAGATTTACTACAGACAGCACAGGGTTGTGAAGTGTGCCAGACGTTCTCAAAGAGCCAACGACGCGAGACACCGTTGCTCCATGAAGTTCCTCAAGGACCCTGGGACAAGTTAGGAAAGTGTTCTTCAGGCCCCATTTGTTGCAATGGCAACCGCACAGCGGTTATAAAACACAGTTCTCAAAACCAAGTCGGTGACTAGTATTATTTTCTTAATTCCTAAAAAAAAAATCACATTCTCCATCCTTGAACGTGATATTAGAAACTGTCAAGTAGAACTTGACTAGTCAGGAAAATGCTGTTACAAGACAAAAAAATTCACGAGATCATTCATTGATTTTCTTTAAGAACGCGTAATAATGAATATAATTTGTGGACAAAAGATCAGGATAGGTCACCGAGCTAATCAATCTAGCAAGCTTTATTTCCAGTCTTCGCGATTTTAGCTCATATCCTGCCGCCCTTTTTTTAAATTTACCGCTGACCCAGTAAGGCTGCTAATTTCGACCCGATGTCGACAGTGCATCAAATCCATAAAGTCATTTCAGTCCAGATTTGGAATACGTTTTTCAAAGAATAGTAAAAATGCAAAACTTCCATCTGTAAGCCAACTTCCGTATTCAGAGTCACCCAGTAGTTAGAGATTTTCGATGAAAGAGTCAACATATCATCGTCGATCAAAAATGTTGTCTGTTGCAGTGTTTCATTCAGTGATTGTGTTTTTTTAATTCGGTTGTTGACAGCAAGAGAGCTGAAGTCGAGTGCAAGAGAAACCAGAACCCATCTAAAAACGTCTCTATTTAAAAAAACTCCTATGCAAGTGAAGGGTGGGATATGAGTTTTGAGCAATGCTTTGATAACATGAAACATTCACTTTTTTCTACACTCTTTTTTCTACACCTTTCCCTTTTTATCACAGAAATAGCCTTATCAAGCTTTCAAAACAAAAGCAGCGGGCACTTTAATTTTCACTTGATTTTCGGCCGCCATTTTGGATACAACTCGCCCACGCAATTTTGTGGGAAAGATCGCGCGTGGGATACGTTCATATGGATCCAATCTCCTCCGGCATAGGAAAAAATTTCGAACCTACTTAAATAGAGCCAACACGAACTATCTCCCATAAAACAACTTACCGTTTCTCAGAACGCTGAAAATCTGTTATTGCTAGTTGCTGAGCTCCCCACCAAGTCAAGGCTCGAGGAAATTCCCCGACATCAGGTTCCTCAAAAGGCTTTGAGTCTCCACGCAAGAAATGTAGCAGCGGTATAGCCAAAAGCCATTCAGGATTAGAATTCCAAGCTTGCTTCATAGACTGATTACAAAATCTTTCAATGGTGCTGATGGCAAAGCTGAGAAAATAAATACCTTTCCTGTTTAAATGACCAAATTATAGCCCTCATGACGGGAACAAAGTTCTTTTCTCCGAAAAACATTAAAGAAGCATAGAAGACATAAAAAGAAGAGAGAAGTCTGTAAAAAATAAAAACATTTAGCCAGTAATAGAAATCTCACTCGTTTCTCGAGCATTTCTCTGATGACTACTCCCATTAACAAATTGCATGGACAATATTGATAGCCTTCCTGCCGGATGCACACGTGTGCACGGACCCCTAAATATATTCCATGGTTACTCCGGGGGAGCAGATGTAACGCACGTTCCGCATGCAGCTAAAATCAACAATATCGATTGACAAGGAATGACGGCAAATTTTAAGCGCAGTCGCCTTTCAAAAACGGTAAATCTGGTTAACGCGAGCGTCCTTTTCGTCTTACGAAAACCTACGTTAATACTTTTACTAGGGTAACTTACTGTCTGAACTCGGTGTCAAACTCGGTAAGAACTGCTTCATAAGCTGGACATCTTTTTTCACTCGTATCGGCTTGAAGGGCTAGACAACTAAGAATTTTGTTCAGATCTTCGCTTTCCAGGTTTATTGCGTAATCGTTCACCGCAAGAAGGATGGCTAGCGATGAGACTACCACAGACACGTGGTTACTTGATCCCACTTGACATTTGGCCAAGGTGGAAACGTTTTCCTCTATCTTAGGTTTCCATAGGTCCAATAACGCCTGCAAATTAATTCGTAGCAATTCAGTACCAGAATAGGGCATGGAGGATTGTTACATCCGCTGGGAGGCTTCACATAGGGGTTCCAGTACACCTGGTTTACCAATGCTTCTAGCGCGTCTTACCGCCGCCGGAAATAATCTTATACGCAAGGTTTGTACAGCCCATTTCGTGGCCATAACCGTATGCTCTCCAATAGGAAGGGACTTTAAAAAATTTACCTTTCATGGCACGCCGAGCGAAACCAACCCAAAGCACACACTATTCGTGTAAAGGGTAACAACATCAAATTCTCACTCATTTAGGTCATTTTTGTTTTTGTTTTTTGTTTTTTGTTTAATAGCTCTATGTTAGCGTGTACAGTGGTGTGTTTTGGTGTCTCTATGCAATCTGATTGGCGCAATTTTTGGTGTATCACAAACTAATCAGATTATAGCATTTTTCGATGTCACACCAATCAGAGCGTTCTTGCTAATTTGTAGTTTGACAGGTCTTCAAATTTCAGCGAATCAACGCGACTCGGGGAGAGCGGTTCGCGAACCAAGGAACTGTGTTAGTGGTGTTGGGAAAGCGTTGGAGTTCTGATCGTTGTGAAACTTTGGTCATTCTTCGTTAAAAAGGTGACTGAGTGGATCATGAGAAAAATTTTGAATCATGATGTTGCTTGAAATGATGATGGGGGCAACTTCAGAATGCCCGGCCACTATTGACCGTTATGAATGGATTACTCCCGCGATCCGATGTCGAAAAATAATATTAAAAGAGAGGACATTTGAACCAGTGATCCCGCACTCGAGCTTACCTAAAGTCGAAGAATGCTGAAATGATAAGGCCGTTAAACTAGTGCATCCGCAGTCCCTCGCTCACGAGGTCAAAGAATAATAAAACGAGAGGGCCGTTAAACTAGTGCTCCCGTAATTCCACGCTTTTGAAGTCGAAGAATAATTAAAGGAAAGGTAAAGTTTACCTAGTGTTGACGTAGTCCCGCTCTTACTTTTTATTTCGTTTTCTCGACTGGGTGATATTTCATGGCTACATATGAATTCCGTATTTAATTTCGCTTAGAGAACGAGGAAAGAAGGACATCTACAAGTGTAATGGCTGTGCTTCGTGAGGACTTTATCGCTATGATCTGTAGGGATTGGAAAGGTCGTCAGGGAATTTTTTCTAACTATCTCAGGTTGAGACGTGCATGTTTTGTGTACCGCTCCTTTGCTTATAACGCACACACCGTCAGCTAAAGGCTTAACACGAATTTAGCACCAGAGCGTGTTGTTTTGGAAGAGCTAGTTTGGCTGACTCTGGTAAAACTAGCGCAAGGCAGTTGCATAAATCATATTTGATTGATAATCTTGTTTTCTGCCTTGTGGCTGCTCTTTTAGCAAAAGCTTGTAAAGACCACCAGGATATTTTCAGTTTCTGCGTCGACTGCCATGTTAAATATCCGTTTCGTTGCTTCTAAAAGTTCTTCATGAATTAAATATTGTTTAAACGATACTTTCCCGCTATAATTGCGTGTTTACTTTTAATTCGCCAGCATGGACTAGGCTTTCTCAGATGAAATGCCACTTTCCAGTATGCAACGTAAATTTTACGACATAATTCTACCTCACTGAAAAATATTTCACAATGATAATGATGGTACAGTCGGTCAATTTTCTACGCAACTCTCACGTACTCAGACGTTTTCTACCAGTAAAATTCGCTTTTAGGTACCTTAGACTTTACCCCATTGCGTGTCAATTCCCTGTAAACAACCTGCATTTTACCACGTATTTCGCACACACAGGGAAAAGTCCAGATAGGCAACAACCAATTAAGAGGCCCACGTTATTATGCTTTGAAAAGCGATACTTTTCTCTTCGTTCAATCTATTTTCACTAGTTCGAAGAACGACGACCGGAAAATGGCTTTGTCCAGAGGCTGTATGATATGAAATAGAGCTTTCCACTGCAAAATTATATGGAGGGATATTTTAAGGCAGCTATCTGTTACTAACCAAGAGGCTACACGAAATTTATTTTCGGACCGGATTTGCGGTTCAGCGGATGGAATTGAATTGGTTTCGAATTGAAGGCTTTGCTGTGTTAGCTAAGTCGCTGTCGAATGCTTTTCATTATTTGTTAACATGGAGAGTTATGGAGATTGAGATTTTGGAACAACTTGACGCCATCCATGATAATTTGGAAAAAATAAAATCGCTAGAGGAAATGAGTTTGTTTACAAGGATTTCTCCTGCTTATATCTTAAGTTTTTTTTTTGCCTCGTAACGATTTATCACAGAAGGCATTTTATGAACCAAACGTTTTTTGACTGATTGCGATTAAAGGTATGTGGCAGTGACTTCCAAATGTTTTTTCTTTTTTTCTTGTCAGAAAAGTATAGTTGTTTCGTCCGCTATATCAATCTACTGATGGATCCAATCGCTAATGTTTACATATGACATTCATATTAACTAGTCGAATTTAAACAATCAGCCAATGAACTTTACTGTTCCCAAAGGTTGTTGTTTTCATCAGTACGATATCAATAGAGGTGATTCACAATATTAGGTTTGTGCTTTAAATAAATATATTCAAGTTCGCTCGAGAGATAAGTTCAAACTGTAACAAGCTTGGTTATCGGCCCAGCATGTTAAGCCTGATTGACAGTCGATGCCACGACTCAGCCTCGTTCCCAAGCTATGTCCACCATTGCTTTACGCCAATTAAGAACGACTCTCTGTAAAGACCGAGTGAGATTGAAAAAATGTGGCACAAGGTCGGAAAAATGGAGCCCTCGATATTTCGTCCAGAGATAACCGAAAGTATGCTAAGAATCGTGATATAAGTTTTAGGTTCTAAAGTTTTTACATTTTTGAGAAAATTACGAAAAATCGTCGACAACCCGGGAAGCCGAAAAATAACAGAAATGAGGTTAAATTTCATGATCGGATAATCGAACTCGTGTGAAGGCGCATAACAAATTATGGTTTTCCTTAGTTTATAATTTTATTAAGGAGGTATTGCTAAGCTTCCTTGATGATATTTTAGACTTYCAATAGTAATTCCGAATTCCTGGAGAGCAAGCGAAGAGAACCGAAATTTCTAGACTCTGAAAATCAAAAATTCCATACCGTTTTCAAACATCTCAAAATATACTCGGTATTATGTAGAATTCTTTCAAAATTAAATTCTAGCAAGCACAAGAGCTGTTTTTGAACATGATATTTTTTTTTTCTTGGTAAACGTTATTTCTGAGGCGAGCGGCCCCATGCAAGTTGACCCAATTTGACCTTTCGAAGAGATTTCGTTTCACCGGGAAATAAACAACTCGACTAGCCTTAGCTCGCTTTCTGAGCAAGACATTGGAAAACCCTGCCATTTCCCATTAAAACTGCCCAGTAAATCTGAGATAATACTTCGATGACGGCTTACATTCCAAATGGGTGTTTGGAGACAAATAATTTTGACGTTCTCAGTTAATTTTTCCATTGCTTTGTTGCCACGCTTCACTGATAATTTAGGGTCACATCTTAATATCGAGCTTGTACGCCGGTTCCAGGCTAAGCTTGTGCAACACTTTTCCGTAAAATCAATCCAGAATTTGTAATATCTACCTCTAAGTCAGCAAACTCCTCATATTCGTTAAGTTTCTTGTATAATAAAAAAAATTCGTAAGCGCAAGACGTAAGTCTCGGTCTAGTGAGTGTAACGCAATCTTTCCTTCGTCACTTCCAGACCAAGTGATTAACTTTTTTTCTGACGGGGAGGGAGAAAGAAGTTTCCGATGCAATGTTGCACGCAATGTATTTAACGGTTCATTATATGGCCATTGCAACAGTTTAATTGAGATTTTCCGTCATTATATAAACACACAAGATTTTTTCATGTCTTTTCCAAATATTTAAACAGTAATCCACTCAACTGCAACTGCGTTCGCTCAAAATACGTTTTTCTTTCAAGTTAAAACGGGACAACTTCCCGTTTTTCTCCTTAGCGCACTCAGCTATTGCTCAGCTCAGTGTGTAGTGGAAAATAGCTTAGAATTCGTAACCACACCCTATTCACTCCCCCTAGTCCCCTACCCCACCTTTGTGCTAACTTTGAATTTAAAGAAGTGAAAACAAAATGTATTTGAGGTAAAGGACGGCCCATTCCATTTTTGTCTCAAAAGAGGGTGGGGGGTGGGACTGGAAGATTTTGAAAATCAAAATGCGCGGGCGCAAGCCGAAAAACGAATTTTCTGCTGAGCGCAAACTTATAGGAATTCCCTGCAGCATCTTAGTGACATGGATTTTAAGAAGAAAGTCCATATGACGGTGCTCCCACGACTGACGTATGCTTAGGTTATGGTTTGGCGTGGTATTTGGGTCGTGATACTGAAGAAAGTATTCCTATGATTACCCTCCTCCCATCCCCCTACCCCACCCTTGTGCTAACTTTGGGCTTTACTTATCCGCTTTGCATTGAAATTTTTGACAGTACTCCTCAATTTTGTCTGCATAGGGTTGTTTACGTGTGATGGCTACATCAACAGCAACAGCAAACCCGGCACAAATGTCTTAGTTTTGCAACCAATAACTTGGTCGTGTTGAGTTCCCTCCTGAGGTTATTTCGCATAGATTATATATATCACATGATGGGGTGTCCTGGCAAAAGTTCCCGAGAAACCTCATTCGTCAATTCTTCGATAGTTGCCTCCTGGGTGACACATTCAATCTCCTCTTCAAGATCATCATCTTTAAACAGAGACTTTTTTGCCGCAAGTCTGGAGAAGAATCCAGTGACCTGAGATGCAGTCAGAAAATATTCACCACTGAACATCTGTTTCCCTTGCGAGTACACGGCAGACATCATAGAACACGCAACTGATACCGGATCACTTTTTCGTCCTAACTGCTCACCTTGTTGAAATTTCTCAGTCAGGTAGTTCTTTTGCTTGTGCGTAAATCTTCATCTACGGGAAGCACTTGACTTGAGCGCCCAGCCCTTTGGTGGCATGTAGTGAGAAGATGGTGGTT